AGTGGACACAAATTTAACAATGTCCAGCAGGTATATATTCACCTCAAATTTTTGTAAACGTGTGTTTTTTACTTTGTTAATGAGTGCAGCTGTCACACAATCACCGCTCAAGTCCTTCCTGACCCTTCCTCCTCTGCCATTGAGAGTTCTGAAATGCTTTCTTCCCTTAGGCTCTGCATCTGAGGTCCTGGTCTATGCTAGAAAACAAGTTGGAAAATATGTTTTGGATCTTTTGCTCTAACCACAGGCACCATGATTTCATCCAAGAATGTAGACAGCCCTACATGAGGGATCAACTTTCTGATTAGGCTGTTTTGGCCAAGTTTGAAACAAAGAACTTTTCTTAGGAAAACACCTTCAGCTGATGAAAACATGCTACAGCATAGGTTCCTGTGATAGAGGAATCAGGAGAAGGCCTGAAAATGTTCCTGCCATGTACACACAAAGAAAATAAGGGGATCATGCTTTTTCAATATAAGACAACCAATGGAGTCTACTCTTTGTACTGACTATAGGTGCCTCAGAACTTTCTTCTATTACACATTTTTTTTCTGATTACAGTTTTTTTTTAAGATTCTTTTATTACTTATGTATACAGTGTTTTGCCCGTGTGTATGCTGACATGCCAGAAGAGGGCAGCAGATCTCAATATAGATGGTTGTGAACCACCATGTGGTTGCTGGACATTGAACTCAGGACCTATGGAACAAGAGCCAGTCCTCCTAACCTCTTACCATCTGAGCCATCTGTTCAGCCCCAACACACTTGTACATGCAAACCAATATGATTAATGCACCCAACACAATCAGCTTCTTTATCACTTTGGAAAAAACAGTAGTCCTCTTGCAGTCCTCATTTCCAAATTATCTTCTTAATTTCAGTAAAAATAATCAAGTCTCCTGTTTACTTTCTGAGATTTGAGCTTCTCCAGTCTTAGTCTTTTTTTAAATTCCTTTCAGGGTTAATCTTTGAGTAGAAGCATCATTGTAATCCATCCCTGCACCTAAGTCAGTGTGCTCACCAACTGCTTACCAGGCTCTGAAATAATGTGGGTGTGTGAGAAATTATTCTTTGTTCTTCAAAAAAAAGTATAAAAGTTTAAAGGCATTAGAGTGTGTTCTTTCAGCTAATAATCTGAGGAAAGCTACATTGAGTAGACCTCTATTTTCTAGCAACCAGTAGTTAGGGCAGTGAATGTGCTATGTATTGTGCTGTGGTAATGAAAGAATGTTCCCCAAAATAAATTGACTCATCTAAGAAAGGATGGGTGAGGAGAGGGACAAAAACACAAAATGAAACTAAAAAGTACTATAGTAAGAAATGTTAACTGATGAAACCATAGCTTGTTGGGATTTTATTTTTTGTTTCAGATTAACAACATGCAATTAGTAGATAATAGCAGAAACTGTCTATCATAAAACTATATGTAATGAAAAGGCATAGAAAAAGCTGGTGTTCAGTAAGTCACATTTCATTGCAATCCTGGATAATAAAGCAAACCTGTGTTTCAATCAACACAAAACAGACCTTCCCTTAGACAGAGAGAACTCAGTCTGAAGAATAGGAAGTTTACTGACAAATTATTCAAAATATTTTTTTTATTCAGGATATCCATGATACTTAAACACACCAGTTTGAGCAAATATCCTGGTAACAGGACTGCACATTTAAAAAACCTTTTTATTCTTGTTATTTTCTGACAAAAATTTTACAATGTGTGAAGTGAGTGATTATAAAAATACAGTTGATTTATTTATGATACTGACATCATATTCCAAAAAAAAACATGAGATGCAGAAAATTAGTTACTCACAAGTATTTAAGGATAAACATTGAAGAAAAATAAGTTAGTTTGTTAGTAAGTATATCATATTGACTGAAAAAATGAGGTTCCTGACCTGCTTTTAATGTGTAACTGTACAGCATTGAGTTCCAAGTCCTCATCTCTAATTAGAACAGTAAACAATGCTAATATTACATTTATCTTCATATTGGTCAATTTCTAGTTATAAGAATAAAATTAAAAAGTAAGAAAGTATACACTTTTCCTTGACCTGTATTTCCCTGGGTCTCACTCAAAACCTCATACAACAACAGAACCTGTAGAGACTGAAACTGGAAGACCCAGGGAATCTGGAGGCACCACACATGAGTGAAAGATAATAGCAACATTACTTACTAACATTATTTAGTGCTCTTACCCATATTTGAGACTCAGGACCATTCTACACTGTCAGAAGAACCTTCTTGCAGATTCTTTTTCTAAAAGTTGAAAGCCACGGGCTATAGCCAAGAAAAAAAGTTACCTGAGTCAAGGATGTATCCTTAAATACCAGACAGAGTAAATCAAGGGTCCAACCCTGTTGTTTTAGACATGACTCAGCATTTAAAATCACTGGCTGCTATTCCAAAAGTCTTGGGATTTATTCCTGGTATTGACATGGTGGCTCACAACTTTCTGTAACTACAGTTTTGAAGAATCCAATGCCTATTTATAGCTTTTGCAGGCGGCATACATACATATCATGTGCAGACATACATGTGGGAAAACAAAAATGCACACAAAATTAATAGAGTAAAAAGTAGGGAGGAGCAGTCCTGCTAGGTCCCAGAGGAGGACTTTGCAGCCAGTCCTGAAGATACCTGATAAAACAGGGTCAGATGAAAGGGGAGGAGGTCCTCCCCAATCAGTGGACTTGGAAAGGGGCAGGGAGGAGATGAGGGAGTGAGGGTGGGATTAGGAGGGAATGGGGGAGCGGGATATAGCTGGGATACAGAGTTATTAAAATGTAACTAATAATAAAAATAAAAATTAAAAATTAAAAAAACATCTAAAATTAGTCAATAGACTGAAGGCAGCACACGACATACTCATTAAAAAAATATATACCAAACACAAATGCACACTTTCATAAAAGAAACACAGTTCTAAAACAGAAGATTTACCCAAACACAGTGATAATCAATAAACCTCTACTGTCAACAAACAGGTTATCTGTAAATAAACAAACTGAGGAACCCTGGAGTCACAATTCATAATATGCCATATGTACCAAACAGATACAAGGAAACCTTTAAGACACTAGAGAAAAACAAACAAACAGAAAATAGAAAGACTATAAATACTTATGAACTGGCAGAATTGCTAAAATAATAACCCTACAAAAGTCCAAGTGGATCAAAGACCTCAACATAAAACCAGACACATTAAATTCGCTAGAAAAAAAAGTGGGGAATACCCTAGAACTCATTGGTACAGGAGAAAACTTTTGATCTTAGCCATTCTGATGGGTGTAAGGTGAAATCTCAGGGTACTTTTGATTTGCATTTCCCTGATAAGCAAGGACATTGAGCATTTCTTTAAGTGTTTCTCTGCCATTCAATATTCCTCTTTCGAGAATTCTCTGTTTAGTTCTGTTCCCCATTTTTAATAGGGTTACTTGATTTGTTGCTTTTCAGCTTCTTGAGGTCTTTATATATACTGGATATTAGCCCTCTGTCAGATAGAGTGTTGGTGAAGGGCACGGGCTCTGCAGCCCAGAGGACGAAGGGGTGGAAGATCGCCCCCCCCCCCGCGCTCAGAGGGGAGGTGGGGCGGCGCGGCTGGACACCCCGGGAGCTGCCTGCAGTGTTCAGGAGGGGCCCGGCCAGAAAGCAGGTTCATGACCTGCGGGGGAGGTAAGCTAGAGTAAAGCTCACAGGGAGCCAAGAGAACAGGCAAGGCTCGTGGGCTTGCTAGGTAAAAGTCCTTAGGCGGGGATTGGCACCGTAGCTGCTCCAGGACAGGAGCTGCTCTGGCTGCCGCCGAGAGGGAAGAAAAACTCCTCCCCCTTGCCTTCATGCCAGCTCAACAGTGAGGGGGAAAGAGAACAGCAGGAGCTCAAAACGCCCTCTTGCTCCTCTCTTCCCTCCTCCCACCTGGGGGCTTGCAACTTACAGATCAAACAGTAATTTAGGATGATTGTTTTCAATTGGTTTTAAATGGTTGATATGATCAAAAATAATTGGGTATGCTTTAAGGTTAAATTCAAATTCTTGTTTAAAACACGTATATGTGCCTATGTGTTTGTAGGGTCTATGAATACATATGTTTAAATAACAACAATATAAATTGCCACATGGTGTGACTCAAAAAAAAAAAGGAACAAAGGTTACAAAATCTCTGAGTCAAAATGATTTTATTTCTTTTTAAGATAAGAAGAAAGTCTTGTTTTAAGTTGATATTGGTTCTAAAGATTGGGTTGTTTTCACTGATAAATTTTGGTCTTAAAATCTGGTTTAAACTTCTATTTGGTTTTGACTTTAAAATTATGGTTATGCTTTGTAAATTCACTCCTAAAGAAAATACTTTGCTTTGATATTGCAGGGACGAGTTTTAAAAATTGTTCAAATGTTTAAGGCTATAAAATATTTAAAGTTTATCAGGCATTTGGGTATGACAATGATCTTGGGTAATCTGACAAAACTTAAAAGTTTCTCGATCCTTTAAAGGAGAATAAAAATACTTTGATATTTATTTTATCAATTTTATAAAACCCAGCCGTATGATTTGTGCTGATTGAAAAAAATTACAGTTTTTAAAATGTATCTTATGGAGAGCTGTTTGTTTGTTAAGCTGCCTTGTTACAACCCTGGTCTTGTGGACGCAGGGCTCCAGCAGGATCATGTTAGGATAGAAAGGATTTTGATGAGAGTTTATATGTTGTCTAAAAAGCAAGAGAAAGAAAAAGAATGTCTGGTTAAGCCAGAAAAAGAAAGCTAGAAACCTGAAGGTTAATGTATGTTGCAGAAGGTTAGTGTATGTTGCAGAAGGTTAGTGTATGTTGCAGAAGGTTAGTGTATGTTGCAGAAGGTTAGTGGATGTTGCAGAAGGTTAGTGTATGTTGCAGAAGGTTAGTGTATGTTGTTATAGTTCATTTAAAAGGCTGGTAATTCCTCATTACAAAATGTTTTCTTATGTTCTTTTAAGAAAAAAATTCTGGCTGATAGGTTTGGTATGGCTAAAATAATTCATACAGTTTAAAATTGTTCTGTACTGTTCTGTTATGCAGTTGGTTCTAAAACTTATTTAATCACTAAGTTAAAAATGTTGGTTGTGGGGGATTATAAATGCTCCACAATGTTTGCTGTATCATCATCAGCACCTAATAGCTATGTTTGGTATTATCAGTCACAGCCTGTGGTAGCCTAACACGAGGCTAGCCACCATGATCTTTCAGGGATAGAGAACATATAAAACTATATTTTTGCTGCCATATCTGTGTCTTAAAAGATTTGCTTTGATTTTAGTTCAGAAAGAACAGATTTAAAGTTATACTAACAACTACAGTTGGCTACACCTAGTGTCTTTGTTTAGTTTTTCTTTTATACAGTTTAAAACAGATAATAAAGATAGACAAAGAGTAACTCAGATATGCTGGCCCTCAGGCTTGTCAGAGATCTGATGAATATGGCATTTTAACTGTGTAAGCTTATTGTGACAGAAAGTTCTGAAATCCTGGCAGTAGCTCCCCCAAGGTCTCCAAGAAGATTTGGGCACAACGACAGATGACTGCGACTCTGGATTGTGGTATGCTAACCACTAGGCAATATTGCCTCAACTGGCCCACTGCTAGGGCTCAGCCTAAGCTGTGGACAAAGCTGGGGACATCTGAGGAGCCATTGTCTCACATTGTGAGAGGCAAGGTGAGGTCAATCTCTTCTGTTCCTCTTTCCACAGAAGCAGTAAAAGCAGTCTCTCACCTTCTGTGCCTGGCTGGACAGCCTCTGTTCAGGATGCCATGAAATAGGAGCGAGGGACACTGCCTAGGTGATGGACTAAATAGTCATCTCTGTCATTTTGATAAACACATAGATTGATATATTTATATAGCTTATAATTTATCCTTCTCAGGTCTCTGAACACCTTGATGGCTATGCTAAGCTTACGACAGCTTTACAGCTAGAGAAAAGACAATTAGATCCACTGTTAGTTCATTGATCAGTTCATTAGCTAAAACTACTGAGTACTAGATCTCTTATTTAGAAAGAAAGACAGGTTTCCCTTGCTCACAGAATTCATGTTAGTTATCTGTGTCTTAAGATATATAACTAGATAAAAAAAATAATACGGAGCCTATATAGAGTCTAAATATAAGAGTTTAGGTTATAAAATCTAAAATGTTATTATTTGGTCTAAAAAAATGTTTCAGGGTTGATAAATACAAAAAAATTAGAGTGTCTAAGTTGATAAAAATAGTTTAAAACATGTTAAAAATGAGAGATACTTTAGATCTCTCCCCCCTCTTTGCTACTGTTGTGCTTATGTTATAAGATTTCAAAAGTTCAGAGTTTTGACATTCATTAATAGAGTTCTGATAAGTTGATAGAGCACTGACTGCTTATTATTCAGTCACCAGGTTGAGATTTTAATTTCCTTTGATTGGCTTCTGGAGATAGACTTAAAGATACTTCTCGTCATGTTAAAAACATCTGTTTAATATATCTAACCCAAAAGTCATAGCTTTTAGTATGGTATTCTTAATATCTGCCATTTCTGAGATAGATTTTGACACGGAAATAAAGAAAATCAAACATCCAGGGTTTAACACTAAAGCCAGTAATGTGTTTCTGCCTAACTTTCCAATATAAACATAGAGATGGGGACTAAAAGATGCTAAATAAATAAAAAAATGGCCAAGCTTCATTCGTGGCTAAATACCAACAGCTATGCCCACAGGAAAAAAAAAAATGTTACCGTAGACACACTTAAGTTATATATAAAGGTTATAAAACAAACAACTGATACTTATTCAGTAAGATGTAGTTTTACCTGTTACTCTCAAAATGTTCAATTTGCTGATATGTTACTTTTCTGAGTATTTAAAATTATACATTTCCTTTTGTGTACTAAAAATTTCATATAAGTTTCAGGATTTGACCTGGATCTGACATAGCTCAAAAAGATCACAGATGAGGTTTTCCCTAATCTTTCCAATTTAATAGATAAATTTTAACTTCTGTCTCCAGTCTAAATTTGTCTCAGCAGATTTTCACCTGTTCAACTCTGTTCTGGGATCAGCTATAGACTACAAGCTGAGATCTGGACTTCCTGAAAACTGACCTGATTGCTCCCTGCCTCTTCCGGTGGATCAACTGACCAGATGCTTGGGACTGCCCTATTGCCCAGCTTTTGACTGGCATTTCAGCCTCCCCAGTCCCTGATGCCTACGTCCAACGGTCAGCATGAAGAAGCTCCAGAAGACGGATCTCCGCCCAAATCCCCCCTAACAGGCTGAAATGCTAAGTCAAAAGTGGCTCCCTGACATTAGCTATTATCTTGAGCATCTGCTTAGCTGCTGACCATACTAAATTGACAAGAGATGCTTTAGTCAGTCCCCCTGGTTCACCACCCTCGTTTCCTCCCTCATGGGCCCCCTAATCATAATTCTCCTGATTCTACTAGTTGGGCCTTGTATTCTAAATTGGCTGATCCAGTTCATAAAAGACCGGTTCTCTGTCGTACAAGCGTTAGTGTTGACCCAGCAATATCATCAGCTCAAACAACAGGGGACAGAATTTAACTCTTCCTAGGCCCGAGAATGGAAGATTCCATTCTAAGTTAAAAGAAAATGGGGGAATGAAAGACCCCAGCCTCACACTAAGTTAAACATAGCTAATGCCATTTTGTGAGACACCACTGTTTTGTAAAACTCTGAAGGCCAGATGAGAAACTGGAAAATTACTGAGAAATCCTAGCTGTGTCACCCACTTGGGATATCTGTGGTCAGGCTGCCCCAGTCATACTAAAAACAGTTTGTGTTAATCACTCTCATAGATATCTGTGAGACTGTTTCAGCTAAGATAGGGAAAAACAAAATAACAGGTGGCGGGCCACGTCAAGGGGTCATCCTACCCCCCTTGACCACCCAGTTCCTGGAATCTTGGTGCCCCTGCCAAACTTTGACGCAAATTGTGGTCTCGTGTAAACGTACCAATCAGCCCCCTGTAACCATGCCCTCTCGTGTCTGTACCAGTGCTACTGCCTCTAAAACCCTATAAAAACCCCAGCTTCCCATCTAGGGGGCGCGGAAGTCTTCCGAAAGACTTTTTGCCCCGGGTACCTGTGTATCAAAATAAAAGCCTCTTGCTGTTTGCATCCGAATGGCCTCGTTGATCCTTGGGAGGGGGTCTCTCTGACGGAAGATACCCTCCGGGGATCTTTCAATATTTATTTGTGTCCTTGAATGTTTTCTGTGAACTAGACTCAAATC